GTCATCTCAGCTGAGACAACCCTCTGATTTTGGAAGGGAATTTTCCCGAATGCCACCAGCTAAGCTCTCCGGCTTTGAGCTTTGGCTGTGCCACCACGGACTGGCCTTGCCTCCTTCCTGTGCTGGGCTCCCTCCACCAGGAGTGGCTCCCCTGCCCTGTGCCTCCTTCCCCCGCTCCTGTTGCACCCTCTCCCTGCCCGCTGCACTGGCTTCAGAGGTCAGCTCCCTGTCTTCCCACCCTCCTGCCTGTTCAGGGCAGGCCTGGCTTGCCAAGACACCGTGGCCAGCCTGTTTCTGCTGTCACCTCCTCCCTCCTGCCCTTGCTCCCTCCCTGGCCTCATAACTGCCTGGGCCGGCTCTCCCCAACTCACCAGCTGGAATATCCCCAGCACCTTGGGGACATCCTTGTCATTGGCTCTTGCTTCCCCACCGCTGGAGGGAACACACCAGGCTCTTTCTCCAATGGCTGTTCTCATGGTGTTGACAGCCCAAGAGTGGGTGCCTGGCATGGGGGGCAGGGTTTCTCAAACTCTGTTGACAATTGGGGCCGGACAGTTCTTGACTGTGTGGGCTGTCCTGTGAGCTGTAGGGTGTTTAGCAGCATCCCTGGCCTCTACTCACCAGATGCCAGGAGCAGCCCCCGCCAAGTTGTGGCGACCAAAAATGTCCCCAGACATGCCGCATGTTCCCTGGGAGCAGAATTGCTCCTAACTGGGAACCGCTGGGCCGGGGGCTGGGGGCATCGTGTCTCAGGCTCAGCTAAGACTGCGCTGGAGGGACCTGAGAAATGATCTTGTCCAAATCCCGAATTTTAAAGGAAATTGGGCTTCTGAGAGCTAAAGAATCTTAAGATCACACCAGGGTGCTCATGATGAGAGAGGCTTTGTAGGAAAAGGAATCAGGCAGCTCTGTGCAGGCTGGGCTGGAAACCAGAGGCCAGGGGCAGGGAGGGCAGTGGGGGCTACTGGACATGGGACCCAGGGCGAAGGTGAGTTGTCCTGGTGCCTGTCTCCTGGGTGGTTGTACAGGCCTCTGCACCGAATGCCAGAAACCAATATATTGTCCCATCCTGGCAGTGTGACTGGGGACTTCCATGTTCCACCTTAGCTTTCTGGAAAATCCAGGCATGACCTTTGTGTTTTCCTGCCTGGAGACTCTGTTAGTGCTGGGCCATCAGAAGATGGGAGCAGAGGGCTCATCTCGGCAGGAGTGCTCGGGGGATGGGAGCGTGGCAGTGGGGATGTGCATGGCACCACACTCTGATGCGCGGGCCTCCTCGCTTGGCAGACGTGCACCATGTGTGGAGCTGGGTGAGGGGGCTGTGATGGAGGCGGGAACAGGTTTGAGGGCTTGGAGCGGAAAACTTCAGGTCCAGACTGCCCCCGCTGAAGGGCAGGGCACACAGATCTTACTTGGGGCCTGGCCTGGGCCCTGTAGGACTTTGGACAGGAAATGGGAAGGGAAACAGATTTGGGGACAGGGCACCAGATGTGTTCCCTAAGAGGTAGAAGGAGGCTTCCGAGTGGCTCTGGCAAGACCAAATCAAAGGATGTGGAGTGCAAAGTCAGAGAACCAGTTTGAAGAGAGGTGACCAGGTCCTGGGAGTTTCTGACCTTAGAGGTTTTCCTACGTAGAGGCTCCTGAGCATCCCAGCCCTTCCCCCACGAGGGAAGTGGGGAGAGGGGCTCAGAAGGGGTCCCCCTCCCTGCAGGCACACCCACAGTGGGAAATGGCTTCAGGAGAAAGGTGTACTCTGAGAACTCTTCCAGGTCCGGGGAGGGTCCAGGCTCTGAGCCCTGGGGTCCTGTGTGTCTCCAGCTGCAGTGGGTGGGGGCACCCTGCAATTCCTCCTGCCACAAGTGCCTGTGGCAGCGGGGTTTCTGCTTACTCATTCCAGGATCTGGCTTTTAGAGCCATAAATCTTCAGCATGAAGATCATAAATTCTCCACGGTATGATTAATGAAAGAAAAATTGAGACGGCAGCATAGAAACTGACCAGATTGAAGAAAAGTCAGAGTGACTATTTGGATGAAAGTTGGAGCCGTCACTGGCGAACCCAGAGCTTCTGAACCAGCTTGGAGCGCCACCTGGTGGCTGTAGCAGGGCTAGCCCCCGCGTTCCCCGGCGAAGCTTTGTGATGGCCCAGTTGGGCTGATGCTGTGGGTCTGAGTGTGCTCATTCCTTGGGAGCCCTGACCTGGTTCCATGTGGGGCTGTGCCAGGGGACAGAAGGCGCAGGACCACTCTCCACAGTGTGGAGGACCTGGGCCGCTGCCGGGCGTACCTCATTTGGACCCCCCTCCAGCTCCTTGCGCTGTCTCTTCATTAGTAATACATGGAGGTGTCTGTCCCCACATTTTTCTTTATGCACAGTGTGGACCACCTTTCTGCTTTCTCATTTATCAAAATCCTACTGATTCTTCAAAGCCCGGCAAGGCCTGTCAGTGCCACCTTCAGCACGTCTCAAATTGGACCATTCTCACCGATCCTCCGTAGCCTCCTGCTGTGAGTCGCCCCAGCTCCCACCTAATCACAGCTGCCTCCCAGTTGCTCCCCTGGCCTCCCCCCAGCCCTCCCGCGGTCTGTCCTCCAAACAGCAGCCAAAGTGATCTGCTGAAAACCTCTATCAGATCATGTCACTCTCCAGCTCTGGGGCCTTCCCATCATACTGAGGCCACCTGCACGTTTCCTTTACCTGCGAGGTTCCAGCTGGCCTGGCCCCCAGCCACCCTGCCTGTTTTGTCTCCTGCCATGTGTCACCTCACTCACTGTTGTGCCACACAGCCAGCGTGCTCCTCCTTGGCTGGCCAGGCTCCTTCCCACTTCGGGGCTTTGGCACCTGCTGTTCCCTCTGTCTGGAACATTCTTCCCCCAGATAGTGGCATAACTATCTGGGGGAAGAATGTTTATTTGGGTTTTTGTTTAAATACCACCTCTTCTAAGATGCCTTCCCTGCCCACCCACTCCTCAGTTATTTTCTGGCTGTTTACCTAGCCTTGTTTTTCTTCGCGGCACATGTCAGCAGCTGAAGTTATGCTATTTGTTGCTTACGTAAGGTCGGTATCTCCTGTAAGACCCTATTCTTCGTGAAGGCAGGGTCTTTGCTAGTGAGGTATACGCCGTCTCCCAGCTTGGAGAAGGGCCTGGGACTGAGTATGCAGGTGTTCGCTTGGGTTTGTGGAGGAATAAGTGAAGGAGATGCCCTTCCTCAGGGAAGCATCTGTCCCCTCCTCTCGCCTTCCCGTGGGCATCACTACCCTGCCTGATGGCGGGCGACCTTGTCTCAGCCCTGAGCCTGTTTCCTCCCAGCAGCCAGAGCAGCTTGAGGGCAGGGGCTGGGCTGATTCCTGGAGTGAGCACAGTCAGCACAGGCCCTGGCATGGAAGGGCTGCCCAGGAAGCCTTTCCAGCAAGCAGTGCCCGGAACTGGCCACCCACTTCACGTAGTTTACGTCATTCTGATTCTCACAACACTCCAATAGGAAGGGGATGATATTCTCACTCTGCATACGAGAGGTTTGCAAGCTCACACCACCAGATTAAGCTGGAGCTGGGATAGCCTGTTCGGGTCTGTGGCTCTGAAGCCCTTACGCCCTGCACCTTCACCTGGCGTGGGATGTTCTCGTCCTCCATCTGCCCCATCTCCACCCACCCTTTAGGGACTGTCTCCTTCAACGGGCTTCTGTGACTGTGAGAGTGATGGCCTCCTCTGAATGGCCGTGGCACTGATTGGGCAGCAGTCCATCCCACCTGGGAGTGGTAGATGTTACACTTTTATTGCTCCCGTCCAGCCAGAACAGAGGCCCCTGGAAAACAGGTCTCTAAAGTCGTCATAGCTTTTCTGGCATGGCACACTGCATGCTGTAGGCACTCAGTAAATACTGTTTGACTGATTGATTGACTCCTCAGACTCGGCAAACTTCTCCTGAGCTGGCGGAGGGAGTGGGGAGTGCCAGCTATATTGAGCATAAAATAAGGCAGATGTGGAGATTTGCAGCCAGTGAAACAGAGGCTTTCCCAGGTGGAGTTGGCGGCGCCAGCAGCCCCAGGAGTGCTGCTGGGGAGAGAGCCACTTTTTCGATTTTGGGGCGGATCATGCTGGAGGCCAGCTTTATTTTGTTTTATTTATTTATTTATTTTGAGACAGTGTCGCTTTGTCACCCAGGCTAGAGTACAGTGGCACAGTCTCGGCTCACTGCAGCCTCCATCTGCCAGGTTCAAGCAATTCTCCTGCCTGAGCCTTCCAAGTAGCTAGAACTACAGGCTCATGCCACCACGCCCAGCTAATTTTTGTATTTTTACTAGAGACAGGGTTATACCGTGTTGGTCAGGCTGTTCTCAAACTCCTGACCTCAGGCGATCCATCCCAGGCTGGCTTATTGGATGGATGGCGAGGGCAGCCAGGGATTCCCATGTCCCGCATACTGGCCAGGTCCCTGGCCAGCTGACCAATGCCTTCTTTCTCTACCGGTGGGAAATTGTTCTTCAGACTCCAGTAGACAAATGGCCCTTTGGGCCAGAGTAACAGGACACAGCCACTGGGAAATTCTGGCTCTGAGAAACCCGATTCCAAGGGTCCCTTCCTACCTCTAGAGATGAAGTCTTTCTTGCTTTCCCGGCCCCAGTGCTCCTCTCTCACCTGGTGTGAGAGATTCTTCTCCATCACACGGAGTAACCTCAGCCGCTCACGTGTGCCCAGTACCTTCCATGTATTTGTTACACACTTTTGCCTCTGTGTGGTTTAATCGATCCTCAGAGTGATCTGGGAGGCCTGTGGAGGTCACGTGGGTAGACTGAGGCACAGAGCGGCAAGGGGACTGTCTGGGTCACACAGCCGACGTGCTTTGGGTCTGCGGCCATGCCCGCTGGTAGCCCGGTTCCCACCTTGTGGGTTCTGACCTTGTCTGTGTCTCAGAGCTCGGGGTGGGGACTGCAGTGTTCCCAGGTCCGTGGGGGATTGTGAGAGCAGTGCCGGGCTAACAGGCTTTCCTTCCTCTCCAGCTCTGTGGCTGTGGGCTGCTTGGAGTAGGCATCTGGCTCTCCGTGTCCCAAGGCAACTTTGCCACCTTCTCCCCCAGCTTCCCCTCGCTGTCTGCAGCCAACCTGGTCATCGCCATAGGCACCATTGTCATGGTAACAGGCTTCCTTGGCTGCCTGGGGGCCATCAAGGAAAACAAGTGCCTCCTCCTCAGCGTAAGTTGTGTTCGAATCCCAGCCCCTCCAACTCCCGATCTCCTTGTACTTGGGCCCCCGGGACAGGCAAAGCCTGGAACATCAGCCACCTGGATGTCCAACTTAAGCCCAGGGAACCTGCTTCTAGAATGTTCCAGGCCCGACCACACCCCTCCTCTTCATGATTGGTTATGGATGCCCCTAGTTGCCCCTCCCACTTCCTGGTGAGTTCAGCTCCTTTGTGTCCCTGTTGTAGCTATCTGGGTTTCCTTGGGAGGAGCTGGCCTCTCCCAGGCCTGGGAAGCCTCACCTGTCCCTGCCTCCCACATTCTCCTTGTCCTCAGCCGTGCCCGTGACCACCTACCCATGCCTAGGCCTTTCCTTTCCAGTTTTTCATCGTCCTGTTGGTCATCCTCCTAGCAGAGCTGATCTTACTCATCCTCTTCTTTGTCTACATGGACAAGGTAAGCCTGACCAGATGGGAGGGGGACAGGGAATGTCACAGGCCTTGGGGTTGGGGCAAGCAGGCCAGGGTCCCTTCTCTGGCCAGAGGAAGAGTGCTGGCAAGAGGCACCTGAGCAGAGAGGAGGATGGAACCGAGGGTTGGGAAAGCCACCAAGGAAAGACCAGAGGGAAGGTCTTGATGAGGGCAGCGTGGGGCAGACAAGTTTGGAGGGTGGGGAAGTTGACTTTGTACCGTCCCAGGGAGTGGAATCCTCTGCAGGACCAGAAATGGCGGTGGGCTACCTCTGGCGCTAGTGAGCTCCCTGTCACTGGAAGTAACTAAGCTACTTGGAGAAGGGATTCAGACCTCACCGGCTGGTTGGGCTGGGTGATTTGAGAGCAACCCACGAGAAACAAGGAGGAACTCTCTGGGTGACACTGGCTGAGCAGGACCGCCAGCTCAGGGAAGCTCCACTTCCTGCGCTAGAGCCCTTGAGGACGGGCGCTGCTCCTGGGTTCAGGAGGGTGGTGGGTGACCCCTATAACCTCGCCAGGCCAGGCAGTCGAGTGAGACTGGCCGGGATTTCAGTGTCTCGGGGCGTGGCAGGCCCTTTGGTACCATGCACTCCAGAACTCTGTAAGGATTCATTCTTGAAGTAGCTGCCTGAGCCACACTGAAAGTTAGAGACATCGTTAGGATGCGAAACAAGCATTTTTTAGTTTTGCGCTTGTGAAAGGGAAGAAAGGACAATGTCCAGAGATTTCCCTGTCTTGGCCCTTTTATGAGAATTGTTTCCCTTAATCCTTATAACAGCCCCAGGAGTAGATACTGCTCTTCAGTATCACATAAAACAGTGGGCAGGGAGGTGCGAGGTCACATGACCTGTCTTCTTCCCTGCAGTTCCCAGGGTGTGTTTTGAGAGGGGCAGTCTGTGGGGAAGCTGTGTTGTGGGGGGATGGGGGTGGCAGAGTGGACCGTGTGTGTGGCTGGTCCTGGGATGGGGGAGTGGGAGGCACGTGGCATGTTTTTTGCCTCTGGGCGTTATGACGCTGGCCCTGAGTTTAGCTCTGCCGGGAAGTGGTGGGTGCACCAAGGCCTGCTGTGTTCTGAAGCTGAGAGTGTATGCCTACCCCTGCACCTCTCTTGGACCAGCAGAGCCCCCCACCCCCATGGGCAAGGCCTTCCAGACCAGCTGCCTCCCCTGCCTTCTTCCCACCCCCTCCGCATCTGTCACCCACCATCCTGGGTGACCTGAGGTGGGCCTGAGAGACGAGCTGCGTGCTGGTCCCAACCGTCCTGCTGTGTCCCTCCGCCTGGCAGGTGAACGAGAATGCCAAGAAGGACCTGAAGGAAGGCCTGCTGCTGTACCACAGTGAGAACAACGTGGGGCTGAAGAACGCCTGGAACATCATCCAGGCCGAGGTGCGGGCTCAGCCACGCCGGTGGGGCCCAGCAGGGAGGAGGGGTGATGCCCGGTGCGTCCAGCTGCCTTCCCAGGGGACCTGGCCGGGTGCCTGTGCTTTCTGGATTTTAACCGGGAGTGAGGTGGTACCCACGGGGGCATTTGCCTGAACTGCCAAGTTAGATGTGGTATGGCAAGGTGCAGCCAGAGGGGGATGAGGACACAGGAGGGACAGGCCTAGGAGTGCTGTGGTTGAGCTTCGGGATGAATGACCGAATTTATTTTAGCAACAGATTTGCCTCCCTGACAGGGCTTGGCTTAGGTGAGGAGGCTCTGGCTCAAAGAGGAAAACAAGTCCATACTCCCAGATGTGCCCATTTAGGCCCTGGGGAAGGGCCAGCAGGGGGCTGAGTGACAGCCAGCTTGGAAAGATTTACAGAAAGAGCAGAGTGGGCAGGCACAGGCTGCACTGCCGTCTCCCGCTCGGTCTCCAGGAAGGAGTGCTCACTCACTTCCCCAGTGGGCCCAGCTGAAGCCCAAAGAAGGGGAAAGAAGCAGGCCCTTGTCTCCTCCCTTAACTCCAGGTGGCCACTTTTGGGGGGCTGGAGTTTGCCTGAGCAGGGGAAGACCCTGGAGAGGAAGGGGCAGGCCCCTGCATGTCTGATCGCCCCTTCCATTCCTGCGGGCTAGATGCGATGCTGCGGTGTCACCGACTACACTGACTGGTACCCAGTGCTGGGGGAGAATACGGTCCCTGACCGCTGCTGCATGGAGAACTCCCAGGGCTGTGGGCGCAACGCCACCACTCCTGTGTGGAGAACGGTGAGGCTGGGGGTGGGCTGCTTGGGTCCAAGAGCCCGTGTGTGGGTGCCCTGACACGAGGAGATGTGGGGAGGCCGGGCCCAGGACACTAAGAGGTTGGCCGAATGTGGGGTGGGGTAGGGACTTACCAAAATAAAGCCAAAAGGCAGGTGGAAAAATGGGGGAGGGTTGGCCCCACAGTTAGGAGAGTCAGAGGGTGAGGGGTTGAATGGGGTCTGAGGCTGCACAGCTGGCCTTGCAGGTGGGGCAGAGGCTGCACCAAGGGAGGGGGACAGGGCTGAGGCCAGGGAGGGCTGGGAGGTAAGAGCAAGGACGAGGTGGGTGAGGGAGAGAGTGAGGTGGGGGCCGGGCTGCAGGGAGTGCACGCTTGGGCTGGGGCCCTAACCTCGTGGGCCTTGCTCCCCAGGGCTGCTACGAGAAGGTGAAGATGTGGTTCCACGACAACAAGCACGTGCTGGGCACGGTGGGGATGTGCATACTCATCACGCAGGTAAGAGGGGCAGCCCCTGGAGCTGAGCCCTCCCTGCGGGCCTCAGCGTGGAGGGAAGGAAGCACAGACCAGTGAAGGCGCTGTTGGTACACGGCGGAGGGTCTGGAATTCATCACAGCATTTCAAGCTTGGCAGCTGTGCCTGCGCCATTTTCACAGAGCTTTGATGTGAGAGCAAGCGTGTACTTAGCACTGAGAATGTGCTTAGGGCTGCCTGTGGCCAGGCCTGGGCTGGGATATTGAAGCTGTAGTCATCCCCCGTGGGTTCCCCCAGTTCTGCCCAAACCTTGAGCCCAGAAAGCCACGCAAGGCACACAAGGTGTCCCCCTGTCACCGTGTTTACAGCTTGTGCCTGTGGCACACTATCTGTGGTGACTGAGACCCCAGCAGGCTTCCTTCTGCCTCCTGCACTCCTCTGGGTCCCTGGCTCCCTTCAGGATTCAGGAGTGGAGGGACATGAACAAGTAGTGACATTGTCCTGAGCATACAGCATTGGTAAGACAGCCCTGTTGCTGCCAAGACATTGCACCATGAATTCCACAACCAGACAGGAGTGGCCTGGCAGGAGTCTTTTTTTTTTTTTTTTTTTGTTTTTTTTTTTTTTTTTTTTTTAAGAGACAGGGTCTCACTTTGTTGCCGGGGCTGGAGTGCAGTGGTGCCATCATAGCTCACTGTGGCCTCAAACTCCTGGGCTTGGGCAGTCGTCCCTCTTCAGCCTTCCAGGTATTTGGGACTACAGGCATATACATCATCACACCTGAATAATTAAAAATACTTTTTTAAAAAAATCAAGACGGGGTCTCCCTCTGTTGCCCAGGCTGATCTCAAGCCATCCTCCCACCTTGGCCTCCTAAAGTGCCACCGTGCCTGGCTGGCATGAGTCTTTTTTATTTTTTTCTTTCTTTCTTTCTTTTTTTTAAGAGGTGGGGTCTTGCTATGTTGCCCAGGCTGGAGTGCAGTGGCTGTTCACAGGTGCAGTCCCACTGCTGATCAGCATGGGAGTTTTGACCTGCTCCGTTTCCGACCTGGGCCGGTCCACCCCTCCTTGGGCAACCTGGTGGTCCCCCACTCCCGGGTGGTCACCATTTTGATGCAGAACTTGGTGCGGACACCCGAGCAGCACAGCGCACTATAGCCCAGAACTCCTGGGCTCAAGCGATACTCCCACCTCAGCCTCCTGAGTAGCTGGGACTACAGGCATGCACCACCGCGCCCGGCTGGCATGAGTCTTGAGTGATCCCTGCCACCTCCCACTCTCCACCTTAGCTCCTGTGAGTCCCCACTTGGGGCCAGGTCCTTATGCATTCTGTGCTCTCAGCGCCCCTCTGAGTGGGCATGCTTGTGCGTCTTGCAGAGGTCTGATGGCTTCTGTTCAAACAGCCCCAAGAGACTGAGCCAGAGTTCACCTGCATGTGGCCTCGAGCAAGCGCTCCAGGGTGACCTGTGTTCACCGTTTTCTTCATTCCATAAGCATTTCCTGGCACGCCAGTCGTCGCCCCCACTTGCTCTAGGTGCTCTGTGACCTCCCAAGCGTCTTGGGGCCGAGGTCAGGTCCAGCCTACTGCAGCTCCCACCTCAGGCCCTTCCCTGTGTCTTTCAGATCCTGGGCATGGCCTTCTCCATGACCCTCTTCCAGCACATCCACCGGACTGGTAAGAAGTACGACGCATGAGCAGGCTGGCCGGGAGTGCCTGCCCCACCCCGCTGCCCTGTGGAGGGAAGAGGATTGAGCTTTGTGTTGCCTGCCTGCACTCTCCAGATGTGACCTCTGCACCCACCCACCCCAGCCTGCCCCACCCCACCTACCCTGCCTCAGCCTCGGACTTCTCGGTGGGAGGAGGAGGCACACGGAGGCCTGGGGCTTGGGGCACCTGGATTCCTGCATCTGCATCTGCGTATTTGCCAAAGACGACAGGGTGGGCTGGGGTGCGCTCAGGAGGAACCCTCCCCAGCACTGATGGGCTTCTGCCCCTGCCCTTCCTCACACTGACATTTTGTCCCCACATGGGGTGGGGAGCAGAGTGCCCCCCCCATGGAGATACCGTCCCAGCGGGGGCTGCTGCGTCCGTGGTCACCACGGGGCACTTGGCGGGGTGGGGGTCTGCCAGCCTCTGGCCAAGGCCCCTGGAGCATCTCGCCCAGGCTTTTTATACCTTACAATGTAACTTTTTTATTTTATTTTACTCTATGATTATTCAGGAATATTATCTCTCAGATAAGTTTAGGGTTAGATTTCTGATTTGTAACTTTTTACTGTGTTGATTTCTTTAATGGTTTGAATTTTTTTCCCTGAGGGTGAGGGATGGGTGGGAAGAGAGGACATCTGTCCAGTCTCAATCAGGACAGACCACCATGCGACACCCAGGAGGCTCTCGGATGGGGCGTGCCAGTGTCCTCAGAGCGCGTGGGAAGGAGGGGGTGTGGACAGGATGCAGGACCTCACCAGGCCTGGTGTCCGAGGACGGGAGCCTGGAAGAGGCGGGTGGAGCATGAAGCAGGCTCGAGGCGCCACTGCACGGGGGTGGCATTTGCTCACTGAGCGAGCCAGGAAGGCCAGGGCAGGGGGTCCCATGGCGCTGGGAAACACTTAGCCAGGAAGGTGGCAGAGCTAGTGAGGTCCTTAGACTTTCACTGATGAGCAGTTGTTGGTGTTTTCTTTCTTCCTTCCTCCCGCTCTCTGCTGGCACGGGAAGCTTCCCCTTCCACCCCATGTGGGTGTTCCCACAACAGGTTCTGCATACCCCAGTTATTTCACAGACATTCCTGCTAGAAACTCTCAGACAAATACCTCTCTAGTTCAGATGCTGCTCACTTTCTCCCTTGCTTCTGGAAGGGGAAGCGGTCCTTAGGTTTTGCTGTGCTGGGCAGTGGCAGGGGACCCATGGGGGTGGGGTTGGCGCCCACAGTCATCCCCATCAGCTTTGCTCAGCTGCGGGTTGCCCTGCTCGGAAGGAGGGAATCACGTCCACCTAGGTCTCAAGGTCTTCGCCTCCTTCCCTGGGCTCACTGACATCAACAGTGATGATCACATCCTCAGTGATCCCAAGGAGAAGAAATACAGAAAACCCAAGTGAGGTTAGACTGGCTCTTGTTACCGGAGCCACAGGAAGAAAGCAGCCGGAGTCACAGCATGTGCAGAGCTGGGCGTGGGAGATGAACAGGCTGGGGAGTGAGGCAGGGAGCGGTATTCAGCTGCAGCGGGGTGCCCCCTCAAAACTGCAGCTGCTCTGGTTTACTGTTTTGCAGTTCAAAAAGACGGAGAATCTGTGGGACTGATCACGGGGACGTTCCCCACTAGCCAGCATCTGGTGCACTTTATCAGGTCGGGCCTTGGTGGGTGGCGGCTTTTCCGATACAGTGTGTCCCGCCACCCTGATTTCCCATGGGGCCAGGTCTGTTCTCCAGCCTCCAACTGCCTGTCTGCTCCAAGAGTGGAGACACAGCCACCTAGCACCGATCACTCCTCGGTTCACCTTAGGTAACACACACAGTGGGACCAGGAGAGCAGAACTGTTGGCGTGATCAGGGTTCGTGTTTTGCGGGGGTGGGAGTGGAGAGTAGGATGGTCCTGCAAGTCGTGCAGGGTAAAGAGCGCTTCCCTGAGACGGGACAGTGGTGCTGATGGAACATCGGGGAGGCCCACATTTGAGCAAAGCTGCCCTTTCCTTGTCTTCTGGCCTGGCTTCCTGGTAAGGAGCTTCAGCTGCCTCCCTGGGAACCCCCAAAGTGCGGATTGTGAAGCAGACACACCCGGGCGGAGAGACGCCAAGCACACAAGTGTTCCAGTTGCGCAATGGGACCCGGGGCCTCGTGCTTTTTTTGCTGTGGGTGGGTTGGGTGGGTTTGTTTATGCCTATCAATGCAATTTTTAATTTTTGTTAATATCAACAGCAAAAGCCTAGTGCACTGGGAGATGTGCAACCTCCCTGAAAATCTTTTGTTTCTGGAGTGCTTCAGGGGTGACCTCTGGCCCCAGAGCCTTTGCCACAGTGCTCCCACCAGCCCCCACCTCTTCTGTTTGCAGAGCCTCGTCTACAGGTCCCCATGCTGTCCTGTATACTCACTCTGTGCTTGGCTGTTTTATTATTTGGCTAAGTCTACATTGGGTGGAAATCTCTGTGCACGGAGCGGGTGTTCCTCCAAGCCCCTTCTACTCGGAGGGCCACACCTAGCAATGCCAGTGAAGGTGGCACAGCCTCTCTTCAGTTTCTCCTGACTGTGATCTCACAGGCAGAATTCCCCCGAGAGAATTCCCCCACTCTCAGCTTCCTTTGCCAGAGTTAGTTCAATCGGGTCTGAAGTGAGCAATTTACAGACTTGCCTCAGAAAAGTCCCTCAGGGCTGGTAGAGGACTGCAGGGGAGCGTCCACTGCAGACTCAGCCTTTCTCTGCAACCATCTTGCAGTGAGGATGAGCAGGCACAGGCTGAGAACTACCCTTGGGTGGTGGCAGCAGGTGTCAGGGTGCAAGTCTCCCCCTGTACCCCTCCCCCAGCTTGAGCCGTGTCACCCCCTCTCCCTCCAGCATGGGCCTGCATCTCGGGCTCTCTGGAAGGACGGCCCTGCCCCAGACCCTCTTGCAGATGCCTGGTTTGAGTTGGAACTAGGTGGCTTTGGTGGCCAAAGAGCAGTCCAGGTGTATGGAAGTGGCTGTCCCCTCCTCTCCAGCCCCTGCCCACCCACTGGTGGAGGTGCTAACTAGCAGGGACGTGGCATAGGATGGGAGCTGGACGGGAGGTGCTGGGGGTCCATTTTTCGTCCCTCAGCTTCTCAGAATCTGACCGGCTGGCCCCTATGTTCCCGTGCCCCCCACTGTCCTCCCTACCGCAGTGAGGCAGTAGTCCAGGGTGGGGCCTGGCCTCCCCACCTTGATTGGGCACTCAGGAGGCGAGGCATGGGGCTTCCTGCCCACGCCTTGCCCACCTGCCTGCCCCTGGGCGGTACGGGAGAGCAGGGCAAGCACGCTTGTTGGTTTCAGATGCACTTTCTACTTGCAATGCCATATCTGTGCGTTCCTTCATCCTGGTCCTGGCTTTATGGAACACCATGTTTTTAGCATGTTTTTAAATAACCAATAAAGTGTCAAAAGCACAGCAGGCTGTCCCTCAGTGGTGTGTTTTGTTCACTAAGCCGAAACTGTGACTTATGTCGTGGTTGGTGTGAGGGACCCAGAGGGAGGTCAGATACCACTCCTACCCTTCATCCAAGACACACCCCCAGGGGGACCTCATCTCTTTTTGGGTCCCAGGTTGCAGATCTGCTGGTGTGGGGAGGGTCTCAGCCCACTCTGGGTGCCTGAGGAATGCTAACATTCACCCTTGAAACGGCTGGATCAGGGGTCAGTCGCAGTGCTGGAGCCTTCTGCCTGAGGCCATAGTCCTGTCTCCGTACCAATCACCCACTACACCGTGGCCAGGCCCCTAGTGTATCGTGGGAGGGGTATGGAATAAGTCATTAGCAGCTTCCAGTAGGGGGAGGGGCTTCCTGTAGGGGTGGGGCTTCCTGTAGGGGGAGGGGCTTCCTGTAGGGGAGGGGCTGTCAGCTTCAGGAACAGTCTTCTTCCTAGTCCCTTTGGCGTTCCCAGGGTCCATTTGAGCTTGATGTCTCCTAGGACTGAAGGGACCTCACAGTGTTGCTTGGCCCTTTCAGGGTGACTCTGGGACAGCCTCAAAGAAGGAACAAAATCCAGATGAGGATGGTTAGCAGGGAAGACTATTAAAACTGCGAGTGGGGAGAGCCCCTGGCTGGGCTGCTGACATTGCCGCCTTCCTGTGGTCTCCTGTGGCCTTCGTTGGGGTCCTGGTGTGTGGAGTTTCCTTGGCTGTCAGTCATGGTGACAAGCTGCAGATGAGAAGCTCAGAACTCCCCCTTCCCTGGTCCTCGCCATGCCTATGTCCCCAGGGTGGAGGCAGACGTGAGGGTGAGTGTGCATGGGGGTCTGATGACAGTTGGAGGTTTGGAGGTAGGCATCTCAAAACCCCACTGCCTGTGGAGCTCCATCTCCTTCCCTCTTAAGGGAGTGGCCAGGTCCACACAGAATTGTCCCAAAGCATCAACCTCCAGGGCCCCATCCTGCAGCTGCTGTGTCTCAGAGCCTCCAGAGATGGTGCCCTGAGTCTGAGCCACCCTCTAAGGTCCAGCTAGAGTGGGGTTCCTGAGAGCCTCCCCATGGTATTTACCAAGAGACACTTTGCGGCTGTAGGGTCAGGATTGATCACGGCCAAGAGCAAGTGAGAAGTGAGAAAGGGTGGCTTCTGAGCAGTGGCAGAGCCCTGCCAGCTTTCCATGGGGCCAGCACTGGTGCTCGCACAAACAAATGTCTGTTTGTCAAAGACTGACTGAATACTTGTGCCGTCCCCTAGAACGTAGTCATGGATGACACAGACCTAATCCCTGCACTTACAGAGCTGACCACTTAGTGGGGACCCCAGAAGAGTGAGTGTGATTGCAAGTAAGGAGTGGCAGCAATGTTCACAGGGCCCTGAGCAGCCCTGTGGGACAGTCACTGGCTGAACTTGGGGAGGTGAGGCCTCCAGAGCAGGTGACGTCGAAGCTAACAGCTGAAGGTGGTGATGTTCACCTGGCAAAGAGAAGCAGGAGATGTGTCCTGTGGATGCTTGTGGTCCGCAGAGCTGGCGCACGGAGGGTGAAGGTGAGGGTCTGGAGGCAGTGGTGACCGCCAGATCACAACCTTGAGAGCCAGGCCAAGGAGCTTGAAGTTCAGGCTGAGAACAGTGGGAGCTGTGGAAAGGCTTTAAGCCCAGGTGTGACAGGCTCAGATGCAACCTTTAAAAAGCTGGCAGTGTGGAGAGTTGTCAGGGACAGAGAGGGTCACCAGGGGACCAGGCACAGGTGCTGCAGTGATTTAGGTGAGAGATGATAGAGCCTCAGGGAAGGGCAGTGGGGTGGAGACAAAGCCAGGAGATTTGAGAGACGCACAGGAGAACCCGTGAGCCTTGGTGGTTAATGAGATTTATGCAAAGAGAAGGAGCATTCCTGCCACCGGCCCAGCATGACATGCCCAACCCAGACAGGTAGGTGACTAATTGTTTGCACCAAATGGATGGATGAATGATCTTCTGGGCTCAGTGTTTCTGTGCAGGAGACGGCAGAGATCAGCGTGGTGCAGTTAAATCTCTCTCTCTGTATTGGGCTGTACAGCTTGCAAAATGCTTCCGTAAACATGATCTAGGTTCCTCCTTACCCAAACCGTCTTATTGGCTGTGCTTAAACTTTCACCATCAGAG